TTGTCTAGATAGTACTCGCTGTGCCGACCCGGAGCGTACTCACATTGTTTAATCAAGCTCACCAGCTCGTCGTCGTTCCTCTGTTCTTGTCGAAAAGGCTCTGGGTCCAGCATCGGTCTGAAGTCCGCCACGCCGCAAACGACCGCCCGACTCAGCGCGTCTGCGTTCTGATTCAACTTCCCCGCACGATGCACGATTTCGAAGCTATGTTCTTGAAGCAGCAAGTTCCACCTCGCAAGGCGCGAGTTTGGGTCACGGACGGACATCAGCCATTTGAGGGCGTTGCAATCCGTAATAACACGAAAATGCCGTCCGAATCAATAGCATCGGAAGTGTCGCACAGCCCACACTACGCCCAGACACTCTTGTTCAGTGGCACCATAGCGCTTCTCAGCTTTGTTCAGCTGGCGGCTCACAAATGCGATCGGATGCTCCTGTCCATCAAAAACCTGGGCCAGCACTGCGCCAATGCCTTGGCCGGATGCGTCAGTCATAACGATGAAATCCCTCGAGAAGTCCGGGAATCTCAAAAGAGGGGCACTGGTCAGAGCATCCTTCATTAGCTCAAAAGCCGTCTGTGCTTCCTCGTCCTACACAAAGTCTACCTTTGGCGAGGTAAGCCGCGTCATGGGCCTGGCGTTTTCCGCGAAGCTTTTCACATGCCTGCGGGTAATCTCCAAGCAATCCCAAAAACTGTCGTACTTTCTTCGCATTTTGAGGGGTTGGGAAATTACGGACACAGCTCAGCTTGTGAGGATCAGGCCTAACACCCTGCCTCGAAAGGATATGTCCCAAGTACTTCGTTTCCTCCCTCAAGAACTGACACTTGGAAGGTCCCAACTTCAGACCCGCTGCGCGGAACCGCATCAGCACGGACTCCACATCCGCTAGGTGCTGGTCAAAGTCATGGCTGCATATAACCACATCATCTAAGTACACACGACACGACTTCCCAAAAATACCTGCAAGGATTACGTCGGCTGTGCGCTGCCATACCGCCGAGCTGTTAACCAGCCCCATGGGCATCCGTCGCCACTGATAGTGTCCGGACGACGTATTGAAGGCTGTCGTTTCTCGGTCACTCTCGTCCATTTTTATTTGCCAGAACCCTGAGGCCATGTCGACCATGGTGGAGTACTTAGCAGTGCCCAGCCGAGCAGTGGTCTCCTGAATATTTGGGAGGGGGTATTGGTCGATTCTTGTCACCTTGTTTAGTTCGCGATAATCGACCACAAACCTGAACGACCCGTTGGGCTTCCGAACCAGGAGAGCGGGTGCACCCCAGGGAGAAACGGAGTGTTCTATGATACCCTTGTCCAACAAGGCCTGGACCTGTTGCTCCATCTCGTCTCTCTTAGCGAATGGTATCCGATACGCTCGGCGGTATGCGGGTGCAGCGTCCGACGTGTTGATTCTGTGTTTGATTGTGCTGCAGTGACCGAGGTCCAGCTTCGTTAAGACAAATGCCGCCCGGTACTTCCACAGGAGCTGAGCGATCCTTCCTCTCTCGCCGGGGTGGACGTGGGGCAGCTCGAACATTCCCAAGAAAGCCGCCTCCGACATGCCGTCGACAGTGTCGCAACTCAGTATCATCTCCTCAAGTTGTGGGTTAGATTCTACGTCAACAAAGACTCCGACCCGCTTGTTCTTGGGCAGGCGCATTTCAGACAATGTAAGATTTGCTATCCTGACTGGCACACGTCCCCTCTGATCTACACGCGCCAGAGCATCAACCCCCAGAAGCCCATGAGGCTCAATCTCTACCATCTCCACCACACCCAGTGCGCCGTGGGGCGGGTTCCCCCGGAGCTTACCAGCCACAGTAATCTCGGTCCTTGGTGGAATGACGCACTCTGACACCAACATGACAGGTGTCTCAGCAGAGCATACACCCCGCACAGGTTGCGATGGTGACCAGTTCAAGATCGGAACCTCTTCCCCGTCGAGCACAACCACCCCCTTCGTGGTCAGCAGGTCCAAGCCGTGGGCACGCACAACATCCTACCCCAGGATTCCGGACATGGGAATCATCGCACTGTCGTTGCAGATAAAAAAAGGATGGCAGAACGAGGTCTTCCCGATCCTAAGTGGTATGATATAGCAACCACAAGTCTCCAGCTCTTCTCCTGTTATGCCTGTCAACAGCGTGCGCGTGCCCCCGAGGTGCTGGTTGAACGTGCGACCACTCTGACTCAGTTCTCTGAAGACGGACTCTTTAAGGAGGCTGACCTTCGACCCGGTGTCCACGAGAAAACGTAGCTCCAATTTTCCAATATTTGCCGCCACCACCGGACTGCTCTCCCCGCACAACCTATATAATGGCCACGTTTATTTCTCCCCCTCCGCCGGTGTCGCTCGGAAGGAGACCTGTTAGTGAAAAGACGGTGAGAGTGCAGGCGAGCTGGTGGTAGCTAATCATGTCGTATTACACCTGAGACTGCAGTGGAAGAAATCGGAAGAACTTTCAGTAGAAGGAACAGACACAGAGACGTTCTCTGTGTCTGTTCCTTCTACTGAAAGTTCTTCCGATTTCTTTCACCGCAGTCTCAGGTGTAATACGACATGATTAGGGACCTGTTAGTTTCCCTCCCCGTGGGGCCCTCCCAAAGCGGCGTTTCCTCTTTCTTCGTTCCTGTGGGGCTGCTGCACCCCTTGTTGTGCGGAGTTCGAGAGTGAACCCCTTTCATTCTCGGTTCTACTTCTGCACTCTCTTATTCTATTGCCGACCAGGTTACAGTACTAGCACCGCATTGGAAAACGCACTGACGTATTCCGAGGAGGACCCCTCTCCATCGGCGCCCGCTGAAGAGCGATACTGTCAGCAAACAGCTTCTCCAGCCTGTCGAGGCGCTGAGAGAGTAAGTCCGTCTCATTCTTTTCCTCGCGTGCATCGACCGCACGTAATGCAGCCCCGGGTGCAACTAACTTCTCGTTGCGCTCTTCTGCAGCGGCAGCCTCCACGGCGTCAGCAAAGCTAGTTGGACCCTTTGATAACACGTAGCGTCTCACAGAATCTCGCAGTCCATTTACGTACAAGGAGAGAAGCTGTCGCTGCAGCACACTATCTGCAGCTGCTCGTGATTCAGCCGCGCCGGCCCCTTCGAACTTCGGGATAGTCTTCGCACCCAGCGCCCGTAGTCGACTTGCGAATTCTCGGACGTCTCTTTAGTCTCTTGCTTGGCAGCCATGAACTTCTCAAGCCTCAGACTTTCCGGTTCATTGTCAAATCTCCTGAGCATTAGATCCCTGAACTCGGGATATTTCTTCACCGCTCTCATTTCTTCATCGTGCCAGGCAAAGTTGTCGGCCCTTCCGATCATCTTGCATTTAGCGATGCCAATCTGTTGTTCATTACTCCAACCTCCCATCTGAGCAACTTGGCTTAGCACCCGAAGAAAGTCTGCCACAGTGGGGCCGCTGCCCTCGCCCGAAAACGAGGGCACCATTGAGCCCAACGCGAGCACTCCGGCGCCGATCGAGTTAGCCATGATTTCGGCTACGGTGTTGATGGCCGCCGTACTTGCTTCTTCAGACGACATGGGCACTGTCTCGATTGCGGGGATTTACTTTCCGGCGAAACCTTCAACGTAGAATCCTACCGCTGCCACCAATTGTGAAGACTCTGGTTAGGAGCTGCACACACACCGTCGTCGGGGCCCGACGTTGAGGAGAGACAGTACCCAGCACTAGTTCCGGCACATATAACTTCATCTAGACTCGGCTGGAGTTCGCTACACAGACAACTGCTACGACGTTCTCCGTCCGAAGACTTGCGATGGTTAACCCTCCTCTTTGTCCTCTTTTTTCCCCTGTCCGCGAGGCGAGGATTCTTTGTAATCTGGCGCGAACGCTACGGTGGGACACACACGCACACACACGTGCCCGCACGCACAGCACCGAATGAGACGGTAATAAACTCCGTCACAACGAGACGAAAGACTGCTTTCATAAAAGAAACTCAACGAACACGAGCGACAAGAAAGCAGCCGTTCTAACCAAACAAGGTAACAAGACGTGCTAGTGCATGACGCCAAGCGAGAAGTATTTCATGCAGGTAATTATTAACGACAAGCCAGTCAAAATTTTCGTCGACATGGGAAGCCAGTGCGTAACGTTACGAGAAAGCGAAGCGCAGCTGATGAACGTGACCTACGAACCACTGTATCGTCCATTCACAATTAACGGGTTTGGATCTGGAAAAACGACGCCTTTAGGCAGCTTCCAAGCAACATTGACGGTCGACGAAGCCAAGGCCAGTGTCAAGGTATACATGGTGCGCGACGCAGTGCAGGTTGTTCTGCTGCTTGTCGGACAGCCTTTTACATAACAGCCGCATGTTACTGTGGTACGTCGCAAGAACGTCCTGCGCATTCTTGAAGAGCGTGATACGTCTGATGATGAGGACGGTACTTTGGCCAGTCTTAAGATACCGGTCCTGCCTCCACGACGCGTAAGACTTTGGGTCAAAGAAGCGGCCGTAATTCCTCCCAACTACGTCGGGATTATTGCGCTCCACTCCGGAGAAGGGACACAAAAAATCCACGAAAACATCTTTATTGATGGCAATATCCATGAATCGCGTGGGCATTACGTCCCGACCTGTGTTTTGAGAAAAGACGAACTGGGAGAACTGTATATCCTCGTAACTAACATATCGGCTACGCCGCTGATCAACGCTGAAAACGAACAGATCGGTAGAGGAACATGGTGCATGGAAGAAGACGCTACCACCAACTGTTATGTTGTATTACGCGCGTTTCAGCACGTATGACGCGCCCCCTTTTTTCTTTTGATCGCTCCTCCTCTGCCTACCCTTTCCCTCTCTGATAACATGCTATAAGTTACGCATGGCTGCCGGCCGCGCGCTCTTCTCGCTCGCTCCGTCATGGAATAAAGTCATTCCACCTCGCCACTCGCCGAGCTGCTTTCATCAATGCTGTTCGGCCACTCGCACGAACACTACATAATGGCGACGAGGACACCGAACCTGCCTTGGGATCATGACTTCTGAGGACGAACCAAGAGATGACCAGTTAACCAACCGAGACAGCGCTGAAAGCACCGAAAGCGTCGTCGATGCCGAGGCCATGACCACCAGTTTCGGGCAAGTGGAACATTTTGATGAGTCTACTAGTGACTGGCTCTCCTACGAAGAGCGAGTGTTGTCTTTTCTACGAGCCAACAAAGTTCCGGCAGAACTGCAAATAGACGCCTTCGTGAGTTTGATCGAACTGAAAACTTACGCCCTTCTCAAGTCGTTGACTGCTCCGGAAACACCGTCGTCAAAGTCCTTTGAAGAATTGCGGCAACTACTGCGCAACCGATTATCACCCAAGCCGTCCGTAATTGGCGAGAGAGCGAAATTTCACCGACGGTCGCAAACGGAAGATGAATCCATTTCAGAGTTCGTGGCCGAGATACGACGACTCGCACAAACGTGCGTATTTGGAAACTTTCTTGATGAGTCACTCCGAGACCGCTTTGTCTGCGGCCTCCGACGAGTAGATATCCAGCGGCACTTGTTCAGTGAAGATAAGCACCTCACATTCCAAAAAGCCGTCGAACGTGCTTTGTCACTCGAGGCAGCTGTCAAGAACGCATCAGCGACCCACTCAAGGTCAGACAGCGCTGCCGAACTGAACAAGCTGCGCAGCTCGGGGCCCAAGCCAAGGGTGATAACGGCGCATTGCTCTCGCTGCGGTTCACCCAAACACAAAGCCACGACGTGTCCACACGCATAAGCAACGTGTTACAAGTGTCACCGTCAGGGGCACATAAAGAGAGCGTGCAAATCAAAGACAAGGTCGCCCAAGAAACGTTTTCCAGTCAGGTCCTTGGAAACCCAAGATGAGTTCCCTCTCAACGGCATCAAAGCATCTGCTTGGTCTACGCCCATCATGGTTGAAGTTCAAGTTCAAGGCACTCCGTTGTCGATGGAACTGGACACGGAGGCAGCCGTATCGATTATTTCAAGCAGCCTTCACAAGCGACTTTTTCCAAGTCTGCGCCTCGAGAAAACACCTCTTCGACTGCGGACATACACGGGACAAGTCATCAAGCCCAACGGCGTGCTACATGTCAACGTCGAAAGCAGCGGCACGGAAAAAAAAAACTGTTACCACTCTATGTTGTACCGCAGACCGCACAGCCGCTTTTGGGACGAGAATGGCTTCAACACGTCCAGCTTGACAGGGACCACATTAGAGACGTCAACTCCATCACGCGCGCCTCGCCAACTTCGAACAAGCCTCCAGCTGAACTTGAGCGGCTTCTGCAAAGATTCAAGCATATTTTCAGTGACGAGCTCGGCAAAATCAATGGTGAGAAAGCCCGTCTTTATTTCAAAAACGATCAAAAACCCAGATTTTTGAAGGCTAGAACGGTACCGTTTGCATTACGCGCAGCCGTAGAAGGCGAACTTAATAAGCTTGAAACATTAGGCATAATCTCTCCCGTTGCCAGCAGCCTGTTTGCGACGCCTGTAGTGCCAGTCATCAAACATGATTGTTCTATTAGTCTTTGCGGCGACCATAAAGTCACGCTAAACCCTATCCTAGACTCCGAGAGCTATCCGCTCTCTAAATTCGAATAATTATTTGCTGTCCTGGCCGGAGGAAACAAGTTCTCGAAGCTAGACCTCAACCGAGCATACCAGCAGGTAGAAATGGATGAGTCATCTAAGAGTTACCTAACTTTGAACACTCACAAGGGACTCTACGTCGTAAATCGCCTTCCGTTAGGCATCGCGTCCACACCGGCGATATTCCAGCGAATCATTGGCAATATCTTGAAGGGTCTCGAAGGAGTCACTTGTTACATCGATGACATCATGGTAACAGGAAACACTGACGAAGAACACTTCCGCAATTTGGAGGCTGTGTTGCAACGCTTATCTGAGAGAGGCGTCAAAGTAAAACTGTCGAAGTGTGAATTTTTCGAAGATAAGCTGCAGTACTTGGGGCATATCGTAAGCCGAGACGGCGTTCAGCCAGCCACTGATAAGGTCGAAGCTATCATGAAAGCGCCGAGGCCAGCTGACACGCACCACTTGAAGTCGTTGCTGGGACTAGTGAATTACTACGGAAAATTTATTCCTAACCTTGCCAGCGTGGTTGCACCTCTCAACCGATTTTTGCGCGGCGACGTGCGCTGGTCATGGAGCGACAAATGTGAATTTGCGTTCTACGAAGTGAAGTGGCTGCTGTCCTCTCCGCCGGTGCTGACTCATTACGATCCTGGGGCACCGTTGCAGCTGCCCGGCGACGCCTCAGCGTACGGCGTCGGCACGGTCCTGTCTCACGTCGCTCCAGATGGGCAGTGTCGTCCGATTGCTTACGCGTCAGGTTGACTAAAGCGGAAGAAGGCTACAGCCAAATAGAAAAGGAAGCGTTAGCACTTGTATTCGGTGTAAAACGATTTCATTACTACCTCTATGGGCGCAGTTTTTTTTCTTGTAACGGACCATAAACGCTTGCAGACCATCCTGGGACCGAAGACCGGCATCCCTATCCTAGCAGCAGCCAGTCTAGAGCGCTGGGCAGTTCTCTTTTCCGCGTACACGTTTACGCTAAAGTACAAGTCATCAAAGGAAAATGCCGTTTCAGATTGCTTATCACGCCTGCCTCTCCAATGTCAAAACGGCGATAACAAAAAGCCGTCAGAAGAATGTTTTTCCTTACAACGCTTCAGTACGCTACCGGTTAACCACCGTGACGTGGCTCGCGAGACAAACAGGGACCCGGTGTTGAAGCAGATCGTGCAGTACGTGGCCGAACGGTTGGCCGAATCGCGCGCCGAGTGACGATCTAAAGCCTTTTTTCTAAAGGCGCTGCGAGTTCTCATTGCAACAAGGGTGCCTAATGCTTGGTACCCGTATCGTTATTCCGCGACGTTTCCAGTCCTTCATGCTCGAAGAGTTGCACCAAGGACACCCTGGAGTTGTCGGGACAAAGGAGCTGGCACGAAGCTACGTGTGGTGGCCCACCATTGATCAGGACATCGAGCGGCAGGTAGGCGCATGCCAGCCTTGCCAGCTGCAGCGTAATTTGCCTTGCCCTGCTGCGCTACACCCGTGGGCGTGGCCCACTCGTCCCTGGGAACGAGTCCACGTGGATTTTGCGGGACCGTATAAAGGTGCCATGCTGTTTGTTGTTGTGGATGCTCATTCAAAATGGCCGGAAGTCTTCACAATGAAGCAGACAACTACCGAACGAACCATAAATTCTTTGCACGAACAATTTTGTCGTTTTGGGTTCCCAGAAACGTTCGTGTCAGATAATGGACCACAATTCACGTCTGCTGAATTTGCAAGCTACATGCGCAGGATCGGTACACGTCATATTCGCACGGCACCGTACCATCCAAGTAGTAATGGCCAAGCGGAACGTTTTGTCCAGTCTTTGAAGGTCGCACTGCGCAAGGATCCAGCCCTCCCTGTGAAGGAGGCACTGGCGGACTTTCTTTTGGCTTACCGGAACACTCCGCACACCACAACCGGAGAAGCGCCAGCCGTCCTATTGCTTGGCAGGCGTCCCCGCACACGGCTAGATGTTGTCAAGCCTTCAACCAGGGAAGCTGTTTCTGCAAGGCAGTTTACCCAGACGCTAAAACGGCGTTCAAGTGGTCGGCTCGGTAAACGGTTCTCGGTAGGCGACAGTGTGCGGGTCCGAAATTTTCGACGTGGTGACAGGTGGTTTAGAGCCACGATTTTAGCCCAAACCGGGCCGGTATCCTACAAGTTGTGTGTAACGACGCCACGAGGTGTGTCTCAGTGGGTGCGACACAAGGACCACATTGTTCGGGTGCCACCGGAAGAGGACATCTCCACGCCACTGGGACCTTTCAGGGAATCCGAGGTACCAGAGGCGTGCCAGACTCCAGCACCACAAGAAGTGGCTCCTGCTCGACCACCACCAGCAGAACCAGCTCAGCAAGAGGAGCGGCGATACCCTTCTCGCCAACGAAGACCACCGGACCTCTACGCGCCCTAGCCTATTGTTGAGTGTAGAACAAACTTATTTAGGCCCGAGGAGTGTTATGTTGTATTAGGCGCGTTTCAGCACGTATGACGCGCCCCCTTTTTTCTTTTGATCGCTCCTCCTCTGCCTACCCTTTCCCTCTCTGATAACATGCTACAAGTTACGCATGGCTGCCGGCCGCGCGCTCTTCTCGCTCGCTCCGTCATGGAATAAAGTCATTCCACCTCGCCACTCGCCGAGCTGCTCTCGTCTATCCTGTTCGGCCACTCGCACGAACACTACACTAACCTCGACGCGTACGTAAACTACAGAGAAAGAAAGCTGACAACCTTGATTGCAACATAGGACGTAGATGTCGGCCTAACTATTTCTGACTCGCAAAAGAAAGCCCTCGTCGCCACGATTAATGACTACCGCGACTGCTTCTCTACATTCCTATCGGAATTGGGGTGCGCGAAGGCAACAAAGATGAAGCTCGTCGACGCGCTCAGTAGGGCTCCTGCATAGGGACCCGAAGAAATGGATGTCGCCACGGGCGTCAGCGTTTTCGCTGCAGAGCTCTCTGATGTCTGGTTGGTGTTGGCTCAAATGATCGATCCAAGGTGACAAGGAATGAAAAACTACTTATAGTGGTCTTCAAAAACGAGAGTCGTAGCGCATCAAGAACGAGTACGTGCTAGCAGAGGGCAAGATTTTAAAAGGGTCCTGAACGACGGAGAAGAGCGTCTGCTATGGGCTGTGCCACGAGGAGCACGTTGGAAAGTAGTACGACGATGCACGATGACGTCGGTCACTTTGCTGTTGAGAAGACCATAGCACTACACTCTTAGAAAAAAGGGTATGGATAGTCCTCCCTTAGTGGAGGAACGGTCTTGTAACCTATGCTCCTTTAAAGAGGGAGAAACTTTCGACCCTGAAGCACGGGAGCAAAGTTCCTCCGTCGCCTGCATCTCATCATAGCGGCCCTGAATCGAGCAAATCGAGCGCAATAAGGCTTAACGAGGACGCTGCGTCTCTTGTACGGGACGAGAGGAGCAGCAAATAAAAGCGTAACACAAGCTTTCCGCGAACTGTGTTTATTTCCGAAGTCAGATTCCCCCACAGGTTCAAAAGCAGTTACTCGGTCTTCTCGTCGACAGCACTGCGATGTAAAACGGAGACAACCGATACCCGGTTACTTCGCGCACTTTGCGTCTTACCTTTAGTGTTCCTCGAGTCACAATTCCTTCCTCAACCGCACATCACGGAGAATGGCAAACTCAATCCGGGAAACCAAAAGCCGCTCTTGAAAGAACAAACTGGAAGTCGCTGTTTATCGCGTTGCGTGAAAGAGGTTGAATCGCTTGCCACCAGATGGCAGGGTCAAGCAGAGTAATTAAAGTTGCTCTAGGCTAGGTGCCGCTACGTACCGCCCAATTCATGCTCTGCAAAAAATGTCATTTCCTCCGGCCACTATTGCGCATGGGGATCGTCTACTATACACACATTATGCATAGTACAAGCATCAGGTGAACATACATTGAGCACTTACACACATATGGCACATACAAATATCAATACAGCGGCACACCACACTAACCCGACCACTACACCCGTGCTCTGAGTTTCCCAGCATTTTATTTTTTTCCAGAAATGTCATACCTCTGAGAGTATTTTGAGTTTCCCAGCACTCCCAGCATTTTATTTTTTTCCAGAAATGTCATACCTCTGAACGTATCTTGAATGGCTCAGGGGATGAATCAAAGCAAACTGTCGATCACGCC